GTATACAGGGTGGGGAAAAAAGTAGGTTTATACGTGTGAGTATGCAAAACAGAGTTTATTCTTATATTGTTATTAATAATTACTGTATTATCTACTTCTGCCCCCCTCCCCCCCGCTCTTGTATGTATTGAAAGACCTGGTTTATGTGAGCTGTAGCGTTTTCTACATTGTGAATTCTGCTGATTGCGTCCTCTTGGTGCACTTGGGACATGTTTCTCTAACTCCTAATGAATTAATTGAATTAGGCACTGAACTTCAACAGCTACTAACACCAAAAAAAGAAGAGCAACACACATGTGCTTCTGGATGAAAGACCACACAACTCCCAGTCATCTTAGAAACAAAAAATGAAACTAAACAAATCCTGAATCTGATCAAGCCCCTGTTGTCTGATTGGCCCAGCTTGGTTCAATCAGTTCTGCCCTGGGGACAGGGTAGGAACAGACATGGCCCTGGGAGACTGCGAGCTGGCCTCCATCGCCACCGTGTCTGCCACAGATACTTACCCCTGATGTAGCCTTTCTTACACTTTGTTTTTGTCCACAGCAGCATCCCTTGGCACATCAGTGCCTGGCACATAGGTGGTGCTCAAAAGGGTAGACTCCAATGGCATTTCCATCTTTTTAAAAATATTTGACTTCCTTTTCTAGGTAGGCTCTGAATTAGCCTGGGTTCCCCCAAAATAAACAGAAGCAGACCCTGGGTTTCCCCAAAGCAGAGGCTGATGGAACAGGCATTCATTTCCAAGTGCAATCGCAGGAAGCATGTGGGAGAGGGACAAGAGTGAAATATTGATCGTGGGAGAGGCAATACAGATATTATCAAGTTTGCCACTGCTACAAGCATCGGTTACTCCATCCCACAGAATATTCTGAGTAGCCATATGAAATGTCTCAGAACCCCCCTGAAGGACCCAGAATAAAGAGGGAGATATTTGTTCTTGGGCTTCCATTGCCTACTTGGCAAGTTTTAACTCCCTGGGCTTTGGGATGTCTCACTGGTCTGAAGCAAGAGGAACTACAGCAGTGTGTGAAGTGGCACACGAGATGTCCAACACAGCTTTTATGAAAAGAGCTCATGAAATGGTACCAATCTTTAGTGTCTGTTAGAAATCAATCAAACAAACAAAAACTTGCAACCTCTCAGAAGTGAAAGCAATGTAGGATTATTTAATCTCCACAATGACTGTTCCTTACTTTTGGTGTCTTGCATCTCCAGCTCTTTCCTTGCACCCTCTGTTCTGAAGAGGTTACTCTTGTTTCTGCCTTCCTACCTTTAAGTTCCACGTAAAATGTGTCTAGACCAGTGGTTCTCAACCTTCCTAATGCCGCGACCCTTTAATACAGTTCCTCATGTTGTGGTGACCCCCAACCATAAAATTATTTTTGTTGCTACTTCATAACTGTAATTTTGCTACTGTTATGAATCGTAATGTAAGTATCTAATATGCAGGATGTATTTTCATTGTTACAAATTGAACATAATTAAAGCATAGTGATTAGTCACAAAAACAATATGTAATTATATACATGTTGTCCGATGGTCTTAGGCGACCCCTGTGAAAGGGTCGTTTGACCCCCAAAGGGGTCGCGACCCACAGATTGAGAACCGCTGGTCTAGACTGTTTCGGAACCCTGAAAAGCTACTTTGTGACCCTTTCAGTGACAGCTTGTGTGGAAAAGGCTCTCCCGTGATAGCGTTCAAATATAGGAATACTTTTGTCTCCGATCCTCTTGGTAGATGGTAAACTTGAAATTTAAATCGTCTTGCTGGTTTTCTTTTTGTTTTTTATGAACATGCAGAATTTGAAATGAAATTGAGGAAAAGATAATGGCAAAGAATAGTGTGATGGTGTATACTGTAAGCGTATTTATTTCAAAATGCATTTATTGTCCTCAAATAGATAACAATGCTTCATGGTTCTCAACTGTATTTCAAAATAGTGAACATATATAAGCTGCGAAGACACAAATTAGAATATATTCCATTAAAAAATCATAATAATTTTCCTCTAGCTGTTTAAAAAAAATATTTTTTTGATTTCAGAGAGGAAGGGAAAGGGAGAGGGAGAGGGAGAGAGAGAGAGAAACATCAATATTGAAAGAGAATCATTAATTGGCTGCCTTCTACATGCCCCACACTGGGGATCGAGCCTGCAACCTGGGCATGTGCCCTGACCAGGAATCGAACCGTGACCTCCTGGTTCATAGGTTGACACTCAACCACGGAGCCACACCGGCCAGGCTAGCTGGTTTTTTTAAGTCCATAAACATTCTTAGAAGATTTTGCAGTGTGATTAATTTCACTTTTTAAATGACTTGTTGATATACTAGAGGCCTGGTGCATGAATTGGTGCATGGGTGGGGTCCCTCAGCCTGGCCAGCGATCAGGGTCGTCTCACCCAGTCCCTATCAGGGCCAATTGGGCCGGCCAGCTGGCTGGGGGGGGGGGGGGGAAGGACCACAGGAGGTTGGTCTGCCCCCGATCAGGTGATTGGGGCTGGCTGGCCGGCCTGGGGTAGGGACTGCAGGAGGTTGGCTGGCCATGGGAGGTTGGCTGTGGGTGCACACTGACCACCAGGGGGCAGCTCCTGTGTTGAGTGTCTGCCCCCTGGTGGTCAGTGCACGTCATAGCTACTGTCTGGTTGTAACGGTTGCTTAGGCTTTTATATATAGAGATATTTATTAATTTGTGCCAGAGTTGATAGCATTCCCAAGATTATAACTGAGTGGCTCAGATGTTGTTTTCTCACAAGGGTTTCTTTAATGTGGCTTTACCTCACGTGTCCTTTTTTCTTTGCCTGTCCTCAGGATTTATAGGTATTTCTGCTCTGCAGGTACTTCTGTGAAATTTCAGAATGAAGTAATTTTAGGAAAGTGTGGTAGACCTTTCTCCATTAGTTCCATAATATGTTAATGTTTTCTGTATTTAGAATCCTCAAATAATATTGTATGTCACTTGTATCTTATTTATTGGAACTTAATGTACATGTCCTTTTTCTCTTTTTCATTTTGTTCATATACTTAGTGAAATTAATGATTTAAAGTTTCTATGGTTATTGCTTTGCTGCATTTAAATATGCTTAATAAATTACTGTAATTTAAAAATAATCTCTGCCTCCCTAGGCACTAATGTTTCTTCCATTATAATATGATTTATTAAAATGCATTTAGTATAATTTATTATGTGAGTTATATAGATGAATCATATCTGTATTAGGTAAGTAGACAACTGAGCTACTTCTCGAATGAAATATTCTTAAATTCAGGATTTCGGGTTGTCTTTAGTGGCTTGCAAAGATTCACTGTTTTGAAGATGTGCTGCTATATTGTATTAAGGTGTTACTCCTCTAAATGATTTTTTTAGCCTATTGTTCTTTGGCCAGATGTAAGATTTTGAATTTATGTATGAGTGCTCCGGCATCCACCAATTCTTCTTTAGTAGAACAGGCTTACTGGTCATAATTTTGTGTCCAGTCATCCCTTGGTATCCTTGGAGGATTGGTTCCAGGATCCCCCGTGGACACCAAACTCTAGGATGCTCAAGTTTCCTAAATAAATTAGTGTAGTTTTTGCATATAGTCTATGTACATCCTCCTATACACACCTAAAATCATCTCTAGAGTGCTTATAAGACCCAATACAATATAAATGCTATGTAAATAGTTGTTAATACTATATTGTTTAGGGAATAAGAGGCAATAATGACAGGGGAAAAAAAGTCTGTACCTGTTCAGTACAGATGCAACCATCATGGGTCTAACTGCATAGTGCACGTCAGCAACAATCAACCATTTTTTAAGATATTTTTGATTTGCAGTTGGTTGAATCTGTGGATCCAGAGCCCACAGGTATGGAGGCATGACTGTAACAGGTTAATAATCTTTCATGTTGAATATACTCTTCCTGGTACATGTTATAAAGCCGTGGCTCTGGGAACTTCTTAACAACTCTTTGTGTTTTCTTCTTTTCTTTAGGATTTTCCTGTTGAATTGGTCATAATTGGAATAGCTATGCTGCTTCTACAGACTCCTGCAAGTCAGCAGAAGCCAATCTTAAGTCTAGGTAAATGACACCGACTACAGGAAAAAGTAAACATAGCCTGAGGGTTGGCAGGAGTCCCTTGAACTATATACAGTATATCCTGTTATGCTGTGAAGTCCTGTATATTTTGAGTTTCTGTTCTGGAATTTTCTTCATTAATCATTATCACATAGAATCTTCTTTCTCTTGTCCAACAAAGTATTTCCTTGTGCAGAACCATTTAGCAGTGACATTGGCAAATATATTGAAGGGCATATCAGCTATTCACAGTTGTGCCGCACACTCAGAATCAATAGCATAAAACCCTTGAAACAAAATAATTGTTTAGCATTTGTATTTGTTCTGAAAACTATACCCTGACTATTCAAAACTCTTGCCATGCTGAACAAAATTTAATTTATGGTTATTAATTAACCTGTGAGACAAAAGAAAGATAACATTCTCCCCACTGTCCAGTATTATTTAAAGAAAAGTGAGGAATGGGACTAAAGGGAGGCAAAAATGTTCTATTTAAGAATGATGTGGCCAGGCCGGTTCAGTGGTTGAGCATAGACCTACGAAATAGGAGGTCAGGGTTCAATTCCCAGTTAGGGCACATGGTTGTGGGCTTGATCCCCAGTTTGGGTGGGGGCTTGCAGGAGGCAGCCAATCAATGATTCTCTCTCATCATTGATGTTCCTATCTCTCTCTCTCTCTCTCTCTCTCTCTCTCTCCCCCTTCCTCTCTGAAATCAAGAAAAATATTTTTTGAAAGTCATTTGAGCCCTAGCTGGTTTGGCTCAGTGGATAGAATGTTGGACTGTGGACTGAAGGGTCCCAGGTTCGATTCCAGTCAAGGGCACATGCCTGGGTTACAGGCTCGATCCCCAGTTGGGGGTGTGCAGGAGGCAGCCAATCAATGATTCTTTCTCATCATTGATGTTTCTATTTCTCTTCCTCTCCCTTCTTCTCTGAAATCAATAAAAATATATATTTTTTAAAAAGTCATTTGATTTGCTTTGGCTTATGGAACAGTAGCCAATGTGACATAAGCAGAAACCTGAAAGCATTTGAGCTTTTTTGGGGGGGAAAAAAGAATGATGTGGTAAAGAATCAAGGTGTTGGGTCTGGCAGATTAACAAATAAGTCACACCTTTAAATGTGGCTTTTACATTAATGTTGCCCAGCTTTATGGCTCCAGTGTAATCCGTGTGCTAATGGAGGCTCTGTGTAAATTGTTGGCTAGTGCCATGATACCCTCATTTTAAAAACGTGCTTGAGGTAAATACTGATTGTGTAGTTCAGTGGTTGGCAAACCGCGGCTCGAGAGCCACATATGGCTCTTTGGCCCCTAGAGTGTGGCTCTTTCACAAAATAACACGTGCGGGCGCGCACATACAGTGCGATTGAAACTTCGTGGCCCATGCGCAGAAGTCAGTTTCGGCCTGGGTGAGTCTATTTTGAAGAAGTGGTGTTAGAAGAAGTGGGGGGTGTCGATCGGTCGGGCGACAGGAGACGCGGCGCAGGGGAAGTACATTGTTTTGAGGTATGTTTGCTGAGGTCGACCCCTTTCAACTCTCCCATCCACACTCCTCTATCTGAAACAAGTATACAAGACGAGTGTGGATGGGAGAGCTGGAAGGGGTCGACCTCAGCGAACGTACCTCAATCAGATTGAGGACGTTTTTAGCAAGGGCCAGCTTAGGAGTACCCTATTAAGTTAATACAATGTACCTACCTAT